AAGGCCGTCTCCGGGGGGGGGGGGGGGGGGGGAGGAGAATCAGAGCGACGCCTTCTCCCCGCTGCGTGAGTGGACGTGGACCTGTTGGCATGGGGCAACTGTTTAGTGCTGGACATAGGTGCTCATCTCTGTCTGAGGCAGGGCGTACAAGACACGCCCAGCAGCAGGCGCCTGGGAGGGGCTCTCCTCACTCTACACCCTGCAGCCCTGGGACTCACCGAAGTCCCCAGCTTCCAGCTCCACCGAGAGCGTCCGGCAGTGCCGCCTGCACTCCTTGGAAGATGTGACAGTCAGGGTCAGCTGCCCGCTTCCAACAGCAAAGGTGCTGTGCAGGCCACGGGTCTGTAACAGAGGGTAAGGGAGGAACGTCAAAAACTCCCGCTGCCCTTTGAGGCCACGGCCCAGTGAAGTCACTGCCCCATTTGTGACGGGGTTATCAACATGGAATCACACCGGGGCCAAGCCCTGCAGGCTGTTCACAGCAGCACACGCCACTCTCCCACTCAGAGGAAAAACCAGGTGAGGAGAGTGAGGGAAAAGGGCCCAGGGTGGGAGAGAACGGGCAGAGGCACAGTGAGAGGCAACGGGGTGTCAGCAGAAATGGTTGGGCACTACTGCCTTAAACCAACTTCCCAAACCTCCTGCTAAAGGAGCCAGGGTACGTCTCCACTGCAGCTGGGCACTCCCAGCTGGGCCAGGCCAGCTGACTGCAGCCCACAGCTGTTTAACATTCAGGGCTGGGCTGCAACCATGCTCTGAGACTCGCCCACAAACCTGCACACCTGACACTCAATTAAGCAGCTGGCGTGGGGCAGCTGCAGGTTTTGAACTGCAGGATCTACAGACCCCAGCCAGAGCCTTATTTTACTGGCAGGGAAACTGAGGCATGGGGCTGTGTGGCTCCCAAGGTCACAGTGGGGCAGGACAGAAGCAGGAACAAAACCCACCATCCTAACTCGCATTCCCCATGCTCTAGAATCTCAGGGAGCTGGAGCAGTGAGCACAGCAGGGTGCTGAGAGCCAGTGGACCTGTAAACCCTGCATAGGATTTCAAGCCAGGGGGTGCGATAGTGCCCCCAGCTGCCCTAGTACCAGTCCCTATGTAGAATGTCCATTTTCCGGTGCGCTGGGGAAGTGACTGGGTACTCCTGTGCAGAGCAGCTGCAGACAGCCCAAGCAATACCCCGGGATATGTGGTGAAAAGGCCTTCCCCTGGCTCTCTGCACGTGGGCGATTTCCCTGCGTCAAGGCCCGCCGGGTACCTACACAGAGGAGGAAAGGATCCCTGGGATAGGTCTCTCACCTTGTTCCCTAATGCTGGGTGGCGAATGAGAAAGCAGCTTTCCAGGGAGATTGCCTTTGGGAATGCCAGCGAAGACAAAGCAGGGAAAAGTTCCTGGAGAATCTGAGTTTTATTCAGGCCTTTGTTCCTATAAAACATTTTGAAGCATCACTTTTTACTACCACTTAGTACTTCTACAGCCTCTGTCCAACGTCCAAGTGCTTCACAAACATCCAGCCCCCACATGCCTGTGAGGCTTGTAGAAATTAGACCCATTTCTATAGATAGGGAAATTGAGGCACAGGCAACTGATGGGTCTTGGTCACACAGAGTCAGAGTCGGGATTAGAACTCATGATTCCCAGCTCCTAGGCCCATGCCCTGCTCACACCACCCTCTTACACAGTGGTGCATCTGAACAGGAGACAGGATATGAAGAGTCAGTCAAGAAGATGCGATTGCTCATTGGTACCGTCTGAGGAGTCCCCTTCCCTTAGAAAAATCTGTTCTAAGTCATTAACCAAATAAAATCGTTAATTAACCTGGGAGCTGCCACCTTGCACTATTTATCATCTATGGTGCTAGCACCTTGGGCTCCCAGCCCATTGCGCTTCGGGCTGTACAAAGACAGCACAAAGAGTCCACATGCTAAGGGTGAGGGTAGTCAGGTCACTTCGCTAGGCCAGAGACAAGACAGTCTGGCATGGGCAGGGGTGTTATTTTTAACTCGCTGCCTGGTGGACTAACCCGATTAAGTCTTCTGTAGCCTGCAGCCAAATCACTTGTCAAAACCATTACTCTGGACTGATAAGGAGTCCTGTGTCTTCTGCCAAAGGGACCCCAACGAGCATTAACCAAAGCCTAGACTCCAGCATGCCCTCTCTCTCCCTCTGTCTACCTCCCCCGCTGAGAAAGGCAACATTAAGTCAGGCACACCCTGCAATTCCAGCTGGACTCTGGCTCCCAATGAAGCAGGTGCAGAATACCAAGGGGGCTGACTTGTGCCAGGGGTCCCAGCTAGAAGATGCACTGCCCCACACCTGAGAAGCAAAGTGGAAAGGTGTTTGTAAAAATATGGACCTGCCTCTAGACCGGAGCCTGCTGTGCTCCTGTACTGGGTCACGGTCCTGGACAAGTCTAGAGCGTCAGCACAGGTCTGACACCTCACAGTTCTAGCTGGGAAGAGGAGGGCTCCCAAACCTGCTACCCACGGCTCCTCTGGGCTGAGACCCGGCACGGGCCCAAGAAGTTGTACTGTGGGACCCAAGTTCAGCCTGGGAGGAACAGCTCCTCAAGTCCCAGCATGCACTGCTCCAGCTGAGCACAGCAAGAGCATTCCGCACGCAGGCCAGCAATCTCCAGGGGCTACGTCCCAATTAGGGACAACGAAGGGCTAAAATCTGCTCCTCTCTTCTTTGCCAATCAGGTGGAGCCCTCAGGCTCCTGGGAACTTGCCAACATATTTCTGAACTGGGAAAAGCCTGGAAACGGGCGTGTGCAACTTGCATGTGTTTTACCGCGACTCACCAGGGGAAGGCAAATGGAAACATCGGTCTGGGAAGGCAGCGCCATAGTTCAGCGGAATTCTCTTCTACTGTCACCTCTGTCAGTTCTGGGTACTGGGACTGGAAATGCTTCAGTTCCTCGTAAGACAGATGCTGCCCTGTCTTAAGTAACAGCAACAGAGAAAGATCCACAGTGTTAACCCAGGCTATTTTCTCTCCATGTGTCAACAAACAGGGACAGGGAGAGCACTGGAACAATGGACCTAGGGGTGTGAAACAATCTCAGTCGCTTGAAGTCTCCGAACACTAGACTGTCTTTCTAAAAAATGTGCTCTCACTGAAACAGGCCTTGTCTCCACTAACCCCCGCTGTCCATCTAGCCTGTACAACTTCAGCTACACAACAGTACAGCTGAAACAAAAAACAGGACTATGTAGCACTTTAAAGACTAACACGGCTACATATCTATTACTATAATACAGCTGAAGTCAATGTCGCTCCCACAGCATCTTCTGTGCAGTAAGTTCGGCAGGGGCAGCCTCCCCATTGAGTCCGGTTATTCTTCTCATCCTCATGGAGAACCGGAGTCGATGGGAGAGCACTCGAAGATTGTGTGTAGTCAACCTGTGGAACTCCTTGCCAGAGGAGGCTGTGAAGGCTAGGACTATAACAGAGTTTAACGAGAAGCTAGATAATTTCATGGAGATTAGGTCCATAAAAGGCTATTAGCCAGGGGACAGAATTGGTGTCCCTGGCCTCTTTGTCAGAGGCTGGAGATGGATGGCAGGAGACAAATCGCTTGATCACTGTCTTCGGTCCACCCTCTCTGGGGCACCTGGTGCTGGCCACTGTCGGCAGACAGGATACCGGGCTAGATGGACCTTTGGTCTGACCCAGTGCGGCCGTTCTTATGTTCTTATGATTTATTGCATCTAAGCAGACACAATAAATCAAGCACCAGTGGATTGATCAATGCAGCGTCAATCTGCCTCATAATGAAGACAAGCCCATAGAAATTATGGGTTTTACACAGATATCACTGGGTGAGATTCTCTGGTCTGTCATATGCAGGCGGTTCGACCCCCTCTGGCTTTACAAAGATATGCATTACCTTGATTATGAGTGGCTGAGGCCTCTGGAAGTTTTCTGATAATTGTCCTAGGTCAGTCACTACCTGGAGGCTTTCAATGGCAGCACAGCAAGAGCAGTTGGCAGGAATCATAGAACCGTTCTTCCTGCAATCTAGTCCCCGCCAGTCATAGCACTCTGGAGGAAAAAGAAAAAAAAAAATCAAGCTTTTATCTGAAGGAGTCAAATGGAAAGGTAATAGAGCCCAGATTGTAAACTTATTATATCTAAATCCAACACAAATATCATCAGAGTACTGATGGTATCCAACGTTTATCAGCTATTAAAATAATTAATCAGGCAAGCTTTGTTGGACTAATCAATGTTGCTTGTAATAGACTCGTTTCCCTTGGGTGTTAGAGAAGGCAGCAAACTGATGTTTTTGGAGACATGATCTTGAGGCTATGTGTGGAAGAGCATTATGGCAATTTCTATTTGTCTGCAAATCTTTGAGGCAAGTGGGCTAGATATGCTATTACTATAGATGTTTGGGGAAATGTGATGGGCCCTTATTATTGTGTGATGAAACAAACAAACCCACAAAGAAAATGTTTGGATTGCTCTTCCATTTAAAAGACAACCCGAAGACAAAACTAACTGGTCAGGTTAAAAATGTCCTTATTGGTGTCACTGTCACACCTGTGACATGCCAAATCACTTGCTTTACATAACCTTAGCTGCCTGTTTGCTTTTACATGATACTCGACTTGGGCAGGCTCTGCTTGTGTCCCGAGATGCTGCACAGACTCAGCTGCAGCGCCTGCAGGGGAATGGCTTGGATTTCAACAAGAAAGTCTACTCACGATGCATTTTAAATCATCGTTTTTATTTCTGTTTGGTTACGTAATTTTGAAAAAACAATCGGTGAAGGTGTGAGCTCTTCGATCCGAGTTACTTCAATGGATGCAGAAGAGTTAATGATCAATGGTCCACAGACGTCAGCGCTCAGTGTTCATCCACACTTGTAAGTCGTGGGAGCAGAGTCTCAGCTGGGAATAGCTACGGTCCTGCTCATACCATCTGATCAGTACAGGGAGAGTTTTACCATACCTCCTTCATGCTGAGTTACACACGAGCCCTAGCCACACCTCACACAGTGCTCCCAGAGACCTGTCCCAACCTTCCCAGCCAAGCCCTCCCCCTTAGCGTGCTAGCATCATTCAGAGAAGATAAATGGAACTTCTGTTTCGTGCCACCTGCAGACTCAGACAGACACCTGTGACGTTCAGATCTCTCACTGCAGCAGCGTGGGGCCAGGCGAGACGCGCCTCTCCATGGCCGCTACTGCTCCAGTGGGCACAGCTGGCAGAGGGGTGCGTGTCCTCCGGCTGGGGCAGGTCCAGGTTAATCTGCCCTAAAGTTAGGATTGAGATGTCCTATCTGTTTAAACAAAGACCGTTCTTAGTGCCCTGGGATCCATACAGCAGCTCGCGCTGCCCTGAAGTCTGGCAGGCTTGGTGGAATGCGGGATACGGTAGGGATCTGAATTTGAGGTGACTGGACCAATGGGTTCTGAAGTACAGCCAATGTTCTCTCTAATTTTTCCATCCATGTGTGAATACATTTTGGTATGTGCATTGAGGCATGTGTGAATGTGCACCACTCGTAGAAACACGTGCTGCCAGCTGTGGGCGCTTTGCTGATCAGCTGGGCAACATCTGAATCTTTCCTGGGTGGCTGCCCAAGTGCTCAGTTTGCAGGGAATGCTTTATACAGCCCCCCAAAATAAATGGCTTTTGAAAAGACACAGCCTAGCAATGTCCTTCTGCCCAAATCTTAGAGCTCAGACCACGGGGCTGATCCTGGCACAAGGGTCTTGCTCCCTCGAGGGCTGCCCAAGGGCATATGGTGCCCAATTCCGAATGCTATTGGCAAGAGTTTGGCTCTTCCGCTGGGCTCGGGAGCGAGGGTCGAGCACCACACAGACCACTGAGCATGTGCAGGCAGGACCTGGAGCTGTCACTGGAGTGGGACGGCTTGAAGGGCTGAGTAGTAAGCCTTTGGTGCCAAAGATCGGACCCAGCCAGCGCCAGGCCCGGCCTCATCTTGGTCAGAAATCAGGGAAGGGTGGGAAAGTCACATTGCTAAGAGCTGGCTGGGAGGGGTTTTCTCATGGGGGTGTGGGGATCTATTTTGTAAAACTAATGAGAGGAGGGGGATTCTGGGGATGGGCAGGAGGGGCCAGAGAAGGGACACTGGGAAGGGGACCAGAGGACCTAAGGGAGGACAAGGGCAGAGATGGCGGTCAGCCTCTCATTCTTGCCTTGTGTGCATGCACCGGGACCTGGTGGTCCCCTGCCCCCTGCGTGTCAACAGGAGTTTGAGGGGGCCTCGCCTCTCAGAGGTGCATGAGCGCTGTTCTCATTCCCCACTGCATGTGCCAGGGTCTGGGGGGCCTGACTCTCCTCTGGTTTATATAGTGGTAGCACCTAGGAGGCTCCTGCATGGACCCCACCCCCTATGTAGAGATCCAGCAGAAAGAGATGGATCTTGCCCAGTGCTAACAAGCCTCACCCCTGCCTCTGGGTAATGTGCGTGTATCTCAGCTGCTGTCACAGCTCACAAACCAGCCTACACTTTGTTCTGAGTCCCACAGGGCGATGCCTCCTCGGGCAAAGTCAAGCATTTCACCCATGGGCGAGTGGCTGGTCAGGCGAGAGAGCGGGATGGAATAGCATTTCCCCTCTCAGCTGGGTCGGGATGGCTATCTCCAGCTTTATCTGAGGGTGTAAACAAGTGATTGGAAAAAACGGCAAATCTACAGCAACCAATCTGCTAGCTGAAGGGCAACAGTTCTGGCTGGCTGAAAGACCCTAAGAAATCTGCTCCACCCGGCACCTCCACAGATGCCCTGCAAGACAGCACCACAACTCCAACTCCCAGCACAAACCGCACATGGCGCCAAAACCACCACTTTGCAATTCCCTCACCGCTTCCACCCAAGCACCACAACACACACACGAAGCTCCAGCCCATCCGTGCTTCCCCCCAAAACCTCCCCTAACAAGCATTCGAGTCCAGAAGAGGGGAGAAGGGAGGAGGAAGGGGAGAGATACTGGAGACTCCCAAATGCAAAACCAGCAAGTTTTCTGCATTCTACAATCCCGCAATGACGAGGAGTTCGTTTACCATCAGCAATTTCAAATAAACAATCCCATGGCTTGAATGAGGGCCAAAGTAAAGCTGGAAAATACAAAGACTCTACAACCGCCCTTTGCTGCAGAGCCAGACTGACTTTTCCTTTTTTCAAACATGAGCCAACACATGTGTCTGCTGTTACGTCTCAGGTCACATTATTAAACGGTTGTTTACAATGAAGCTCAGCCAGGCTTGCAGCAGCAAGAGGGTTCGGAGAGAGCCCTGGGGCGTAGCGCAGCCAAGTGCCCCACGAGGAAGAAGTGGTTTCTGCTAGAAGCGAAATGGAAATGATCTATTTCACAGCAAGGCCTGTGGTTGATGGCATGGAGGGCTGGGCTGGGGGCCAGCACATTCACCTGGGGCACGGGAGCTAAGGAGAGGTTTGCTTCCTGTTCCAGCAGAAAAATTCAAGCCCCTTAAGAGACACAGTTAAGCTGTCCAAAGCCTAAGTGTAATCATCACAAGGTTGTTTTGTCATATGGCACCACCAATCTAGTAGGGATGTTAAACTAGTCCCCAGTAACATAGGCGTGCGCACGGGGTGTGCCGGGTGTGCCCAGGCACACCCTAATGTCCCGGGCCGGCTAGCCCAAGCCATTTTTGAGCTCTGGGCCCCCCCCGGCGCGGTGCCCCTGAGGCGCCCGGGGGCGCCCCCGCCCAGCACTGCAGCAAGGTGCAGTGCCCTTGAGGCGCCTGGGAGCGCCCCCGCCCAGCAGTGCAGCAAGGTGCAGTGCCCTTGAGGCGCCTGGGAGCGCCCCCGCCCAGCACTGCAGCACCGCACAGCACCCCTGAGGTGCCCGGGAGCGCCCCCACCCAGCCCTGCAGCACTGCGCGGCACCCTGGGGGTGTCCCCGCCCCGCCCTGCAGCACT